TCATTGTCTTTCACTTCTGGGTCTTCATGCATTAAATGTTGTCTCATCAAGGGAAATGTGCATTAAATACTTGCTTTCCCAAGTCGTGTGTCAGCAAGGGTATTCCGATCTTTTTGACTCTAATCTGACACAGTACGCCACATGCCAGCTCCCCTTTGGTTGAGTCTTCTATTTTCCTGTGCGTTCTGACACCATATAGGTAAGACCAGGTCATGATGGCTAATCTAGCCTAGCCCAGGCTGATGACCTGTCTATCAATAACCCTGTAGGAACCGAACGCCGATGTAGTGGGTACACCTCGGTACCGAGGGCCTAGTACAGTTAGGGGCCGATGTACCCCACAAATTCGACCGAGGAATACGTGTCGCCCCGTGCATACCGGCGTCATAGATCCTTATGCATAGTGCCCTCCTCAGGGAAAGAGGGATCATGATCCGACGAGCACGTGTCGTGATCACAGCAGAGAGTATTTCTTTGATACCGAGTACACGTGTCGCCATCTTAAAATGTCCAAAAAATGTCTCATCGTTAACTTTAGTTAAAAATGAATTAAAAATTACATTTATTTCTAACCCACTCTTTTCTAAAATGTTCATAGAATGCTCTGCATCATGAAAAATAAGCACAAACTGATGTGGCTGATTTAGAAAGAAAAGAAAAAACATATGGATATTTTTCCTTTGAGATCAAAGATGTTTCCTTATCTTCCACTGTTCTGCCTTGTTTGCTTTTACCTTCGTCTGTATCGAAACGAATAATAATAGATTACAAAAAAAAGAAGAAGAACCAGTGTACCTCAATATTCTGACAGAGAAGAGGGGAGGCTTTTAGAGAGCTAACTATTTCCAAGGACCATCTGAGAAAAACAGAACTACAACTAGTACATCTTCCTCTCACTATCCATAACCTCCGAAGCCTTTGGTTTCCTTTTTCTTTTGAGAAAAGGGAAGCGGAAGGAACCCAGCTGCAGACGAGTCTGCCAAATTGCCGAAGTATTCATTTCCCAAAAAATCTAATATGGACATTATCAAAATGACCGAAATTGAGACAAGCACCACAAGCTTGGTCAAAAACCCAAAGAAGCTGGCCAGAATCATTTGATGATAACCAAATAATCTTTTTTGTTTTTCAAAAAAAAAAATAGAATCTCTAAAACGACTGCAAATAGGCTCCGGCATAACTGGACAAATAGGCTCTGGCATAACTGGAAAAAAAGTATGTAGCTGCCCTTAACTTCCAACTCAACTATGGCTTCCTCAAGACAATTGAAGTATTAAGCAGCTTTCTGATAATTTCAGTATGTTTTATTTTATATTTTTGAGAATAAAAAATAAATGGTCAAAGGAAAAGACAAACAATAAAAATAAAACAATTACAATCAACCATGGGAGGAATAAATGGGCGATGCTACTAAATAGTACTCAACAAAATATAATATATACTAATATAGGTTTTAAGTTCCAGTCAAATTGAATTTTCGTTCTACACTCAAAATTCATCTTTTCCACTCTATAGATCAAATGCATAAGCTAAAAATTTCAACTACAAAAACAAAAAAAAATTCAGTCATGTAATTTCGAACAATGAGCAGCAAGATATTCTAGATTTTTAGCGAGGAAGTATTTTGTTAAATGGGAAAGTTAGTCACCCTTTTCTTTTCTGAACAAATCGAAGAAATTAATGGATCGACCTTGAACTCTGGGTGACTTGACAGCAAATCCCCCCACGACAAAGTGGTTGGTAGATCCAATTCTTCTACTTTTCTTTCTTATTTGTAGTTTTTCTTAGACGATTCTCCACCTAATTCAGACAATTTGCGCACAATGCTATTATTTTCCTTCTTTTTTGTTTCGCAATAAGAAAATACAAAGATAGATTGATTCGTCTTCATGGTCAGGTGTTTATTGTTCTCAGTGTGTTCGATTCGGATTGATTTTGGTTTTTACTTTTTTCATTTAATAACACAAAAGGGGAAAAGAAAAAAAAATAGACTATGTATACGGTTGTAGGATGGAAAAAGAGTTTCCATAATTAAGGCTTATTGCGTGTGCAACGGGAGAAGAAGAGATCGTGGTCAAACACTAGTCCTTTTGGACTTTCCAACTAGAGCCTCAAAGCTAAAGACATATTCTTTAGTCGCTTATTACTTAGTCCTAACCAAGCAAAGCAAATTCTAATACAGATGAAGAAGTAATGCCTCTTTTAGATTGACAATCGGTAGATCGAGATTGCAAGTTAGTAGCAACAAAGTGTTTTCAACTCTTGTAGTAGATTCGTCTAGTCTCATCTCCCTTTCTTCACTTGTGAAGAAACTTGGCTAGTTCTTTTTCTTTAGACATTATGTTCATCATTTTTTCTCGTTCATGAGGTGAGGTTCAACGCCCCTAGTCAATAGGCGAGCGCTAAAAGTTGAGTGGCTTTTTTCATGTTTTTATTATCGTGAGTTTAATTTGGAGTTTGTGTGTTAACAATTAAATAAAATGAACCCAAATAATTTCTACTTTGATATTCTTTGTACATACAACTGATAGCCAAAAGGTACTTCGATGAATCGAAGGATCCATTAGCCATTCATAGCGCACTGACAAAATTTATGATTATTTCATTTATTAATAATTGCTTTATGCGAAACTTAAATATTGGCATTGTCATACATACTGTCTAAGGAATTTTTCATCCAGGAGAGCACCATTTAATGCAAGAAGTCACATTTATAGAGGTTCTTACAAATTCAATGTTTCTCTGCCTCTTGCATTTGCACTAGAACTTCTGGTTGTGCTACAACACTTCTAAATGCTTGAAACCCAAAGTTCCAAAGTAGGAATCCCGAACTGGGACATTGACTTCGCATCTAAAGGCTGAAACCACCATAGTTCTTGATAAGAAATTTCAAATGCCACCGAAAAGACTCACAACTAGATGTGGAGCCAGGTTTTATGTAGGCAAGAACTAACTGTAAGTCTGCGACTGCAACATAAAAAAAACTTCAGAGGCTACAAGATGTTGAATATGATTAGTATTAATTTAACATAAAGCTAACCACTGCGCATTTCACACCCATGCCAGATCCCAAAGCTTTAATTTGTTCAGCAATCTGAATCGCCAGCTCCCTTGAAGGGGGGAACCAAGAAAGATATAGTTGAATCAAGTTCCTTCTCAAAGCAAAATTATGTTTCGGATAACACACCGTGTTGGAGAAAGCACACGGGTATGATAATTTATTATTAATAGCAAAAATTTCAATGACAACCCCTCTAGTTTACTATATCTTCAAAGATATCCCTCTAGTTTTTGAATCTTCAATGACATCCCTTCTAGTTTAATTTAAACATCACTAACACCCCCTACCATTAAACTATTATTTCTAACAAAATAAACTCATCTAAAATACAAAAAATGTCCCTACTTAACCTCAAGTAATTTTTTTACATAAAATTTTATTAAAATTCAAGCTGTTAAAATTAAAAAAAAAATCACAAATAACAATTTTAGTAAATAATTTATTAGTAAATACTAATTTTTTATTTAATAATTAGTAAATTTTAAAAAACAAATTGAGCCTATTAAATTTTTTTTTTTGCATATTAAAATTTGAGCTGATTTGAACTCTATCCGAGTTGTTAGGGCCGATTAAAATTCTCTTTTGAGTCGATTATAATTTATATTTTTTTCTTTTTAAAATTTGTGTCAATAAAAATTTAAGTCAATTAAAATTCATATATTTTTATATATTAAAATTTAGGCTGATTAAAATTCAATGCGAATTAATTAAAATTTGATTTGAGTCGATTAAAAATAATTTTTAATTGCCTCAAACAAAATTTTAATTAGTCCAAATTCTAATACATAAAAATATATAATTTTTAAATGGTACAAATTTTAATATGCAAAAAAATAAAATTTAATTAGCTTGAATAGAATTTTAATCAATTTGAATTTAATTGCGTAAAAAAATTTAGAAAACAGAAGGGGTTTTATTGAAAATATACTTATTTACATGGGGTCTCATTGAAAATATATTTATCTAGAGGGGGTGTGAATGAAGTTTGTCCTCAAATATATCATGGACAATTTAGTAAAATTGGATTTTACTTAATATTTTTAATCTGATAGGGGTGTCATTGAAGATTTAGAAATTAGAGGGGATATTATTGAAGATATGATAAACTATAGTGGGTGTGGTTGAAATTTTCCCTTAATACATACAAACCCCTCAGGTATGATAATTTATACTAACACTACCCTCTCTCAACGACAATTTGCAAACGGCACAAATAAAAGTACTGAAAAGACTAATTAATCCTTACCAATAACCCAAATAATTTTAACATTGGACAAACTTATTCCAACCGTAGAAATGCCCCAATTCCTATCCAAACAATCTTACACCTATAAATAACCCACCACCTTCTCAACCCTATTCCTCCTCAAAGCCACCATCGCACTGGTCGACCATCATACCCACCCATCTGCCTCCAGCCACTATATCAACTCCATCAGTGACGTAACCCCCCATCCCCTCACCCACAAGTGCCTACCCCAACCATACCTAGCTGCCAACACCCGATGAAACCCTCCCCCTATCATCTTCTTCGTCTCCTGCGCTTCTTCTTTCTCTGTCTCTCCTGATCTTCACACAAAGCTCAAACGCGCACACACAGCAGTCCACACTCACACAAAATCAGCTTACCTTCTATTTTGTGTCATCTCTTGATTTCTTTTTCTTGGCACAAACACACGTAGAGTTTCACACTCGCACAACCGCCACCGAAAAACCACCAAATTCTACTATATTCTCCTCGCAATTTCAACATCCCGCAGCCCCATCAACCAAACTCATTGAGGTGCTCCCTCTTCTCTCTCTGTCATGCTCCTTTCTTTCTCCATGTTCTCCTTCGTAGCTCTCTCTCTACAATAGTTCATTGTTTTGCTGGTACTGTTTTATTTGTTTTGTGTTAGTTTGAATTGGGATGTTTTGTTACTATTTAGGGGTTTGGGGTATGGGATTGGGGATTGAATTTGCCTCCAGAATATTTTCTAGAGTCCCAAAATTTTTCCCTGCACTCACAATAGCCAATAGTGGGTATTAAATTTTCCCTTGCTCTTGCTGTGTTTCCCTTCTTTTTTTTTTGTGGAGGTTTGTGAAACAACAAAAGTGCTTCCATTGACTTGGCCCTCTTTAGATTGTTTGGTTGGAAAGGGATAGTAGATTTTTTTATGGGAAAGATGTGCTCCAGTATTTTCTTTGGGAAAGAGTGAAAGTTCAAGTTCATTATGGGTTCTCATTACTAAAGAATTTTGGGAATTTCCTTTATTTTTATCCATCAACATTGGAATGAAATTGTGTTTAATGTTGGATAATGTGTTTTTAATTTTTGTTGTAATTTATGGATTTCTTTTCTTGCACTAATGGCTGGATTTACCCTGTCCACCATGTTTGTATATTCCGTTTTAATTGATGAATTTCTGTTTCTTATAGGCAGAAAATATACAATGACCGTTCAAGCTTCACCTTATCTATCGATCTGTTTGTCTTTCTCTCTCTCTAAGGCTAAAACATCTTGGACGACAATCCAACCGGGGCATAAGCTATTCAGAGTTAAATTATTGAAATTTTGAACTTGAAATCCTATCTGCTGGTCCTAAAAATAGCTTAGTTGCTAAGAAAAGTGAGGCAATGGAAAAGAAAATCAAACCTTCAACTTTATATTTTATGTGATGCTAGTTTCCGACATATGAAGATATTATCAACTGAGATGAATAGTTGTTGTTTTAAGCTTAATTGGTATTGATTTTCTAGTTATTATGTGCATTGCAGATGAGTGTCTCAATATGAAAAGGTTTGGCATATTAACATAATAACATGGTTTGGACATGGATATGGTTAGGGAATATTCTTGTTTTAGGATGGATATTGGTTTAGTGCTACGTTTTGTTTTTGTTTGAGTTTTCTAAGACACAAAATTTCATCATTTGAGTGAACTTTTTTGTATCTTGAGAATTTTTCTTTTCATAGGTTGATTGGTAAGAATGGCGGAAGTGAACGAAGAAGTCAAATCCTTTAAAGATCTCGGAGTATGCGATCAATTGGTGGAGGCTTGCGATAATTTGGGGTGGAAAAACCCATCGAAGATACAAGCTGAAGCCATTCCTCATGCACTGGAAGGTTCAGCCCCTTTAAGTCTATTTTATGTATTCTGGTATTTTTCATTTGTATTTTTATCTTTTTGGAAAAGCTCGCTTTTCTTTATGTTTCTGTGATAGATGATATCTGTTCCTTTTAAATTCTGGTGGATTTCTTGTTTTCATGTTTTTTCCTTTCAACCCTTAAAATGGTATTCTCCATGTCGTTTCTTATTTTTATTGTTGATTCAACTATGTGTTCCAGGGAAGGACCTGATTGGGCTTGCACAAACAGGTTCCGGTAAAACTGGGGCTTTTGCAATCCCCATACTCCAAGCTCTTTTGGAGACTCCACAAGCATTCTTTGCCTGTGTGCTTTCTCCAACACGGTGTGTTATCTTTTTATTAATTTTGATTTGAGAAGGAACTTAATTGTTTACATTTCCTTCATTAGTAGTTGTTCAAATTTTGTTGTTTTCGTATATCTTTCTTGGTTTTCCCCCTTCAAGGGAGCTAGCGATTCAGATTGCTGAACAATTTGAAGCTTTGGGATCTGGCATTGGTGTGAAATGCGCAGTGGTGAGCTTTATGTTAAATTAATACTAATCATATTCAACATCTTGTAGCCTTTGAAGTTTTTTTTATGGTGCAGTCGCAGACTTACAGTTAGTTCTTGCCTACATAAAACCTGGCTCCACATCTAGTTGAGTCTTTTCGGTGGCATTTGAAATTTCTTATCAAGAACTATGGTGGTTTCAGCCTTTAGATGCGAAGTCAATGTCCCAGTTCGGGATTCCTTCTTTGGAACTTTGGGTTTCAAGCATTTAAAAGTGTTGTAGCACAACCAGAAGTTCTAGTGCAAATGCAAGAGGCAGAGAAACATTGAATTTGTAGGAACCTCTAAAAATGTGACTTCTTGCATTAAATGGTGCTCTCTTGGATGAAAAATTCCTTAGACAGTATGTATAACAATGCCTATATTAAGTTTCGCATAAAGCAATTATTAATAAATGAAATAATCATAAATTTTGCCTGTGCACTATGATTGGCTAATGGAGCTTTCGTTTCATCAAAGTACCTTTTGGCTATCAGTTGTATGTACAAAGAATATCAAAGTAGAAATTATTTGGGTTCATTTTATTTAATTGTTAACACACAAACTCCAAATTAAACTCGCGATAATAAAAACATGAAAATGGCCACTCAGCTTTTAGCCCTCGCCTACTGACTAGGGGCGTTGAAGCTTAGCTTATGAATGAGAAAAAAGGATGAACAGAATGTTTGAAGAAAAAGAACTAGCCAAGCTTCTTTATCAGTGAAGAAAGGGAGACGAGATTAGATGAATCTACTACAAAAGGTGAAAGCACTTTGTTGCTACTGACTTGCAATCTCGATCTACCGACTGCCAATCTAAAAGAGGCCTTGCTTCTTCATCTGTATTAGAATTTGCCTTGCTTGGTTGGGACTAAGTAATAAGCGACTAAAGAGTCTGTCTTTAGCTTCGTGGCTCTGGCTGGAAGGTTCAAAAGGACTAGTGTTTGACCAAGATCTCTTTTTCTCCCGTTGCACACGCAATAAGCCTTAATTATGGAAACTCTTTCTCCACCCTACGTAGTGTATTTTTTTCTTTTCTTTCCCCTTTTTTATTATTAAATGAAAAAAGTAAAAACCAAAATCAATTTGGATCGAGCACACCGAGAACAATAGACACCTGACCATGAAGACGAACCAATCTATCTTTGTATCTTCTTATTGCACAAACAAACAATAAGGAAAATAATAGCATTGTGCGCAAATTGTCTAAATTAGGTGGAGAATCGTCTAAGAAAAACTACAAATAGGAAAGATAAGTAGAAGAATTGGATCTACCAACCACTTTGTCGCCGGGCGGTTCGCTGTCAAGTCACCCAGAGTTCAAGGTCGATCCATTAAGTTCTTCGATTTGTTCAGAAAAGAAAAGGATGACTAACTTTCCCATTTAACAAAATAATTCCTCGCTAAAAATCTAGAATATCTTGCTGCTCATTGTTCGAAATTACTTGACTGAAAAATTTGTTGTTTTTGTGGTTGGAATTTTTAGTTTATGCATTTGATCTATAGAGTGGGAAAGATGGATTTTGAGTGCCTGAACGAAAATTCAATTTGACTGGAACTTGAAACCTATATTAGTATTTATTATATTTTGTTGAGTACTATTTAGTAGCATCGCCCATTTATTCCTCCCATGGTTGATTGTAAATTGTTTTATTTTTATTGTTTGTCTTTTCCTTTGACCATTTATTTTTTATTTGCAAATTGGGTGGTGGGAATAGGTTCTTTCATAACGGTGTCACTTATACCTGAACTGGATCTTTTGTATTTTCTTTTCCTGTGAGCATGCTGAGATGAGATGCCGATTTCAGAAGTTTGAATTACACAACGAATTGCTGGGTGTGGCTTAAACTCATCAATTGCTGTTCTTTTTGGAAATATTTTTGTATTTTTTCAATTTTTGTTGAACAAAATGGCATAGAGAATAGATACCTGTAATCATTGATACCTAGTAGATGTGTCAAACACATTGGATTGCCTAAATTGTTTATTTTTTTAGGTTATAAAAAATATCTCCATTGGGAGGAAATCTAAGTTTACTGGAAAATAAGCATAAAAAGAAATGGATCTTTGAAGGTCGACCAAACTCCGTGGCCTTTTGGTTAGTTTTATGCATAGGTCTAGTGTTTTACAACTTAATGTATTGTAAAAAAGTGTTCGTGCTTTTTCCTTATTCTTTTCTTAATATACATCAAATTTAAGACCATGTTAATAAGTGTATTATACAATTTGCAGCTTGTTGGAGGCATAGATCATGTGCAACAGGGTATTGCCCTTGGAAAGCGGCCACACATAGTTGTAAGTGTTCAATTTATCTTCTGAAGTATACAAGGCCTGAAGGTTGGGAATCATCTTTTCATAGTTAACTGATGTACCTGATCATAAAAATGCTAGCTACCAAATCCTATGTTCATGTAGATTTGAAGTGGAATATTGTTTTGAAAGAATTCAATGAATATCTATAGTAACTTTAGGTATCAATCTGACCAGACTGATACTTACGAGTTTTGTGTTGGACTGCATTCTGTTCCCATTGTAGACTGGGATGTTTATTGCTTTGATCGTCCTAAAGGATGTAAAATTGCCGGAGCAATAAAAAATGGCATACAGGAACGTCTTTTATGTATTGAAGTTTGAACTATAATTTAATGATGAATTAGTTTATTATTGAGAGCCAAAAAAGGTTGTGTGAGAAATTTAGGAAGAAAACCTAAAGGAAAAGCCTATGAAGCATGGACAATTTCAGGAAGAGCGATATTCTTGCACTGCAGTCCTCTGCCCCAACTCTCCTAGATATGATTAGTATTGCAAAAGGTCTTTGAGTTATATTTAACTATACAGGTCTGTCCAAAAGATTTTTGTTTATTTATCTTGAATTCCTGTTCATGTGCAGATATGTTTGACTATCAGAAGAATGTTAATCATCTTGTTTTATTGCTTCATTTCAGGTTGCAACACCTGGCCGCCTAGTGGATCATCTGTCCAATACCAAAGGTTTTTCTCTTCGGCCAGCAAAATACTTGGTATGCCGATATATTTTGTTTATGATGACTAACGTTGTTTTGTTTTGGTGTTTTGAACTTATCTTTGTGCTAAAAGCCCTATGTTGCTGTTGTATTGTCACATGGTGAAATACTTCTTGTTTGCAAGGTTATCTAATCTCGTTGCTGTATCAGTTTTTTTATATTCTGTTTTGTCCTTGATATTCAACCTCTAACAGCACATAAGGGGAGAGCCCATGAATTCAAAGGACGAGGACATTCTCTTGGCAGCCTTACCTAATTTGTTTATGGTGCATTGAACCAATTGGAAAGGCAAAGAGGAAATTCTCATGGCAGCCTTATCTAATTCATCTTTCCTTGGCAGGTATTAGATGAGGCCGATAGGTTGCTGAATGAAGATTTTGAGAAAGCAATTGATGAAATTTTGAATGTTATTCCTCGCGAACGGAAAACTTATTTGTTTTCTGCTACTATGACAAAAAAGGTACAAAGTTAATTCCCTTTCCATGTGTTCAATGTTGTCGTTAGTTTTCAATCCTTGTTCTCTGATTTTGTTAGCTTGTTTTAAGAATTCATCATTATTCGGTTCCTGGATATTTTCAAAGTTCTGTCATTTGTTTTTTTTGTTTCCAGAATTCAAGCTTGTTTGGACTTTGCATGTCAAGGTTTTTCTCTGTTATATTTTGCCTATTAATTCTGAGATTCTTATGCAGCAAATAGGACTTTCTGCTTGTATGACTATTGGAATCTCTAATAGATTGAAGGGAAATGTATTTTTTGGAAATTTGAATCGTTTGGACTCAGTGTTCTTTCATGGTTGAAATACCCATGTGCTGTCATGGCATCTTGTACCCCTTAAGTGAATATCTGGAAGTCTGTCGAAATGAACTTCTTAGCCCAATCCAGATATATATACTAGTGGCCCCAAATCTGTGATTTACAATCGGTCATCTCCTATTTTATTTTGTTTTTCATCGTTTTCCCCTCTTTCACCACAGCACTTGGGCAGTAAGAAAATTATTGAAAGTTTTAGGGTGATAAAATTTGTTTTTAGGCAATTTTAAATGAATGGTGGTTAGTTAGTGGGAGAGAGGAGACATATTGTAGAATGTGATAGGAGGAAACCTTTAATTGATAGTTTAATAATTCTAATAAACTAGAAAATAGAGAGGGAAGACTTGTCAAGATCTCTCCTTATGTTATGAAATTTGTTGTTTTATACATTATTAGATTGTTATATCTACTATTGTCCTCCATCATACCCCATCCCGCCACCCTTTTGGTGAATATTGCTCCTAGATTAGTTAGTTGGGCAGGGAATCATATGCCTTACACTCCATAGATCCAAGTCTTCGTTGAGTTGATTTGGCAATTATATTTTCACCATCTTTATATATGGTTGATTGAGAAAAGTTAAGACACTTTAGGGTGAAGCTTTGTTGAGTTGATGTGGATATGGTTAGTAAATCAAATTTAAGCATAGTCATACATGTTATGACTAGGAAGGTGTCTAGCATGGTGAAGAAATAGGATACACTAATCTTTTTTCGATAAGAAACAAGACTTTATTGATAAAAAACCAAAAAGGCAATACAAGGGTGATAACCAAATCAAAGGTGGACAAGTCGTCCGACACAATTAAGGATCAAAATTTTATTTCGGTGTATTGTTTAAGTCACCTAATAAATAGAAACGTTTCAATGTGTTTTGGAAACGTTTCGACTTGTATGGAAACAGATTGAAAAAAATAAAAAAATTAAGAATTATTTTTTTTAAACATCGGTTGAAATATATCAAAAGATCTTGAAATACCTTAAAATATTCTTAAACAATTGTGCAAATGCATTAAAATATAACAAAACATTCCGACACATTATGGAACACCTCGAAATATTAGAATTTTGATTTCATCACTGATTTGTTTTGGTCTCCTTGGAAATGAAAACGTTTAAGACATTTCGAAACAAAATTTTGATCCTTGAACTCAATGATCGATTAATAGAAACATAAAGAAAAGCAAGCTTATCTTATGTCAAACAATTTGATTGTTCAAAGAAAAAGAAATAGGATTGAAGTCCTCCGATAGTAAATATTAGGATTTTATTTGGGCAAATTTTTTACAACTATCCCTTTCTTTTTTGAGAGACCATGAAATGATAAAGGCCATCCTCACGCCGTATCAGCATTGAACATTTTTGAACGAGAAAACAAAAACAGAACATAAGTGAAGCAGTTGCTTGGGTTTCCATCCTTTTTACAGCCTTTCACCAAGTGTTGTATAACTTTTTATCGGTTGCCCAGATTTAAAATTTCAACTGAAACCTTGCCTGACCCCTCAGTAGTTCCTGCCAATCCCATTTGATTACTTACAACACCTAGAATCTACTTGGTCAATTAGAACACGAATATCCTCCTATGTAATCTCTCTTGTGTCGGCTATATAAGTAGAAGTCTTACTAGGAGGAGAGTCCGCTGTTCCGGATATGTTATAATTGTGCAATATCTTTCTAATATATTACAGCACTTTCTGTGAGGAAGGAGTGATACTATGTAGCCTGCTTATGTGCACCACGTTCAACCCTTTATTTCTTTCATGGGATCATCACTTCAGTTTGGACCTTAACTACTGAACGACTACATAGATGGCCATATCAGCCACCATCGCACACAATTTGAATAAGATGTGGAAGATCGTCACAAGATTCATGTTATACGTCATTTCGTCTAGCTTGGTTTGTAGCTTTTGGTCAGTTCTTCTTGGGAAGCCTTAAGGTTAAACTTTTCATTTGAATGGAATAAAATCTGGGGAATATTAGGAGGAATGTCATAGTGAAAATCAGAAGATGCCACTTTTCCCTAAAAAAGTAGAAATAAAAATAAAAGTAAGTAAGAAGTTTTTTCATTATGCAGCATCAGTCCAGCAATTTGTTTTACGGTAATTTTGATACTAGAACTTTTATATGTTACCAAAAAAAATGGTTCTTCAGAAAGGGAGAGTATATTATGTTGCTCTTGTAATATTGCAGGTACGGAAGCTCCAAAGGGCTTGTCTGAAGAATCCTGTGAAGGCATGATTACATACTTACTGAATTCCCATATTGGTTTCCTCAATTTTTTTACTGAAGTCAGCTTGTAACTTCTTTCAGATTGAAGCTTCATCTAAATATTCTACTGTTGATACATTAAAGCAGCAGTATCGATTTGTTCCTGCTAAGTACAAGGTTTCCCTTTTTTCATAACTTGTGCAGAAGTTCGTCATAACTTTTTTTTTTTGGATAGAAACAAACTTTCATTCATTAAAGGAAGTGTGAATTTCGTCATAACTTCACACCTCCGTTTAAGGTTAACATTATGCAGACTACCAAAATTGCATATCATTTATGTGAGTGGACTGAATTGCATAATGGATACATTAATGGGTCATGTTTTTGGAAATTTATGGGTAAAAAGTTTCAGTAATTGCATTGGTCTGTATGGGTTGTATATTTCAAATCAGTTAAAGAAAGTCAGCTGGATAATGAACCAATGATGAAATTATAAATATAAGGTAAATTTGAGATGTAGTTGTAAAATATTATGGAAGGGGCTGTGGTTATCGTTCAATAATTAGGTACAATTATTGCTACAAGACATGAAATGTCACAAAGTCTTACTTCTTGTTCACAGAAATTGCAGTTCCTCAATTAATTAACATGAAAATAGAGGGAATAATAGAAACATTTCTTTCATTCTTCTTAGCAAAATGTTGGCATGTTATTCATGCTATATTACAGCATGGGCTGGTGGCTTCCCCATTTTGTCATTATAATGTGATTATAACGGTTATGTACTGATTTGCACTGTTTCCATGTTTGTATGTTTTTGGGTTGGAAGAATCTGCCTTTGCTTGGATAATGTACTACTTAATTTTATTTATTAATTATATTTTGTTCTCAAAAAGAATAAAAAAGACCCTAATGTCTACCAGGAAGTTCAAACGTTGCTAAGGTAATTGGAGCAGTATGATTTTCCTTACTGCTATGTTGAACTGCTGGTTGAACAATATTTAATTAATGAACTTTTTGAAAAAGAAGTTATGTATTTGCATGGGGTGATGAGGACCCTGTTTAAGGTTAATTCGTACATATGCTAGTGGTCTTTCTTCAAGCTCCCCTTTCTTTCTTTTTCCACTTTAACATGCAGTTATAATGGAAACAAAAAAAAAAAAAAAAGAGGAAAAAAGCAAGTAGAATTTGGATAGTGGAATGGTTAAGGGAAGAGAGCTTAAAATTTGCTTGGCATAGTGCTACACGTAGGGTTAACAGTGGCTTTGGCCTAGTTGTAAAGGTGGGGCTTCTAAGGAGTGGGCTCTAGGATTCAAAACTCCTTTAATGGGGTGGGGTAACAGGATTAATTCTCATCACTAACAATCAAGGAGGAGGAGAGAGAGTGCCCTGCCCATCACAGATGTAAGGTAAGCATTGTAACATGAACTCTAAAGTGCCAACAATATCTGAAAAGTGCCTCAGTTGTGGCATGTGGCTGGAGGTGTAATGCCTTTGTGCCAGCAACATTATTAGGATGCTTGAGTTTTCATGCCTTCCAAATTTACCGGATAAGCCATATTTTGTTTTTTGTCCAAATAGTTAAGATGATAACGTGCTAATATATTCCTTGGATCCCACATGTGAACAATAAATGCAATCTGCCACTGGTTACAGGATTGCTATCTTGTTTATATTTTGACGGAGATGTCTGGAAGTACATCAATGGTTTTTACTCGTACGTGCGATTCAACTCGCCTTCTGGCTCTGATTCTTAGAAACCTTGGTTTAAGAGCCATCCCAATTAGTGGTCAAATGAGCCAGGTATGGATTTCTGTGTTTCTCTTCAAATTTTATCCAAATTTGCCCTCATTTTCTGTAAAATATGTGTGACAGGCAAAAAGACTTGGAGCCTTAAACAAGTTCAAGGCTGGAGAATGTAATATTCTTATCTGCACTGACGTTGCAAGTAGAGGACTTGATATTCCATCTGTTGATATGGTTATCAATTATGATATCCCTGCAAACTCGAAGGTTAAGCATCCTTTTTACGTAATGCCTATATGCCTTTCTAGACCTGGTCTTTAAACCTAGCCCATTACTCCCTTTATGGAGCATTTGCTTACTCCTTTCTTGTTGCAGTTAGGAGATTAGGACTTGCCCTTCTACTATGTTTTACCCTTCAGAGTTGGAGTTATATTTTTATTTGCCCATCGTTTTTGTGCCCATACCAAGAATGGGACGTCCCTTAAACAAGTGTGTATATTCTGTTTACAGCTGGAGTATTATTTTTTCCTTTTATTAACTTCTAATTTTTAAGTGATTTTTTCGTGTAGAATATATAGTCTGATGTCATCACTTTTAATTGATCCATTACTAGTTCATCACAATTCACAGGTATTGGTGTTGTATAAACTAATTCCTGCATTGAATGCATGCTTCCAAATTATTATGCTCTACATGTTTCCACCCTATTCTACTAGGCCATTAGATTAGCAAGAAGTTGGGCATTTAGACATTGGAGAAAATTTGTGTCCTATTGATCCCTATTCAGAGACATGAGAAATCTTGCACCTAGACGTCCCTTAAATTGATGCTACTAGTTTTATGTCAGGAAATAATTTTATGGGAATCATTTTAATATGATATCTCGATTTGCATTTCTGAAATGATTTGCAGGATTATATACATAGAGTGGGCAGAACTGCTCGCGCGGGGCGATCTGGGGTTGCAATCTCGTTAGTGAATCAGTATGAGTTGGAGTGGTATATACAAATAGAGAAGCTTATAGGTTGGCAGCATGCGTGATACTCATGGGGGTGTTGATTAAACCAAAGGGAAGTGTTTGTTAGGCTGACATTTTACATTTGTGTTCAGGGAAAAAGTTACCTGAGTTTCCAGCCCAAGAAGAAGAAGTAATGCTACTGTGGGAGCGCGCCACCGAAGCAAAAAGGATATCCCAGATGGTAAGAACTTCGTTACTTTACTATATTACTTTGATTGTCTGTTGTTGGTTTCATGTATTGCATGTGGGTGTAATTTTTACTTGATGAATTGTTCCTCCGTAGTGGACAGTTTAGCTAATTATATATTGACTCTGGTTTGTCAACTATATTAATTGTCATATGAACTCTTTAGCAGTTTATTATAGTCCTCTAATACACTTTATTCTATAGAGTATCACCTCAATCGTAAAGGTATTTAGAATTTTTGTGCATCAGAAGCTGTTGCACTTGTAGGAATACGTATATATAACAGTAGAAGTAGAACAATTGTTAGAGCTGGCGAAAATTGTTACGAGAAGCCATTACCTGGAGATTGCTGCTGTTACAAATTTTGGTTCTTAGAATCCATGTTATACCAGTTACATAGACCATTATAATAGTAAACCTTTCTAGAAATTGATGAAATTACATTAGAATGTAGTTGTGTTTACCTTTGTTATTTGCCTGCATTCTAAGATTATCGAAAAATCTGCTACTGAATCCTGATTGAAGAAACGCTTGCAGCAGTTCTATGGAGCCTCTCCTGAGGTCTTGGTTACATATGAAGTGGACTGATGCAAGCAACTTAAAAGTAGTCAAACTACTCACTTTTCTAATAAAAAAAGAGGAATTTTCTTGCGGCAATCAAGGCACACCCATTTCGTTACTTCATTTGGAATACACCCCTTTGCCTAAAAAAAATAAAAAATCAAACAATAAGGCCCCCCCTTGTCCCACCGAGGTATCATGTAACCAAACTAATTCATGAAGAACTTGTCAGACATGTTGGATGATTTGTGGTTTATATAGTTTTTAACTTTATGAACCATTGTTGATAATAATTTTAAGTTACAATTCTATAATGATGCTATACGGTCTTTTTGATCGCAGAGGCAAGTGTGTGGACAATGTCTGTACAGCAATAAAAATACGTGTTCTTGGCAGTCCATACTTATGTTACACAGTTCCCTTTATGGTTTCTCTTGAAGAGAGAGAGATGTTTTTTTTTGGTAAATAAGAGAATGAGATGTTACTCGTTCTC